CAGACGAAGAAAAAAAACAAAAAAAAACGGGCCCCGAGCCAAGCCAGCCGAGCCAAGCCAGACGAAGAAAAGAACCGAGCCAAGCCAGTCGAAGAAAAAAAAACTCCTCCGCCCACCATATATATATATATATATTTGCTTTGCGTGGCTTCAGAGGTAGGTTCGCGGCCTAATTACATGCAGAAGAACGCCACTGCCTAAAAGGCAGCGAGATGGGATGCGACCAAAAGCTCTGAGGCGCTGAAATCACAGGCTGCTGTCCAGCCAGGACCAGGTCCCAGATTTGCTGAAGGTCCGCGGGGACCAGAGGCCAGTACATGGTAGTCACGGCTGTGACGTCAAAAGCCCCCCTGAAATAGCCCTTCACAGCTTCCCAGGGACCAATCAGGTTTACAGGAGCGACGTTCGGGGTCACGTGACCTGGTACAAAGTTGCTCGCAATCCGGCACCAATCTATCTGAGCGATCGATGCAGAAAAATCCTTCAAAGTAGTAGTATTCTCTGCACAATCCCTCTCAGAATCTGGCGTAGGCCACGGCGAAGACGAAAAATCCTCGGCTGCGGCCCTGATCGCTTCGATCGTGTCGGCAGTCCAGTGCTCGTTGCTGCCGGAATCCCATATCTCTCCAGCTTCCGTCGCGGAGCGCTCCACCACATCAGCTGCCTCATTGAAATAGAGGGGAAACTTCGCCAGCGTCTCCTGGTAGATGAGGAGGATAGCCTGCTTGTTCTCCGGCAGACCGTCCTGTTGCAGCACCTGACAAAGTGCTCGGTAGGCCTCTTCTAGTGTCGCATCCCAGTCTGAAGCACAGCCCGAGCGAAGCGGCTGTGCTTGAGCTCCAGGAACCGCCAGGGTGTAGTCTTCGATCTCGTGCCTCCTCCACAGGCGACTGCCCAGGCCTGGGGCCACATCATCGACTTGCGTCCCATGTTCCCGAAGCGTCTGCACACATCGTGCAGAGTCTCGTAGGTGAATAGCCAACTTGGTCCTAGACCAATACTGGCGGCCGCATGCCTGGCACAAGGTGCCGGCTACGTAGTTCCGGTACTTCGCGATCCTGCCGTGGACCTTGAAGAAATGGGCCCCAAGGGCTCCTTTGGATTTTACGCTGCGGCCACACGGTCGGCAGTGCCACATCCTGTTGCCTTGCTCGGAGGCAGGTAGGTGGCTGCAGGCTCGCCGGTAGAGCGCCCACAGAATGATCAACGTCCTCTGCTCGCCACAGAAGTCCGCAAAGTCCTGCTTGCAGCCCGCTGCTACACGCCTCTTGATCCAGCCTTGTCTCTCCACGAAGAGCTGAACCCACTCCGCCCAAGCAAAAGGTTTGCAGGGTGGCCATTGCCCATCAAGCTTCGTGATCCAGGCCAGGTCCTCTCGCACCACCTGTAGCCAGGACTGTTCTGTTTGTACCATGGCCCATAAAGCTTCCGGGGCTGCAGCAGCCATGGAGCTCAGCAAACTCAATCTTGCTCTCCGGGCAATGAGACCAAGCGGCCAGGAGCCTGTAATAATATGGGTGGCTGGGGCCACCAACTTGTAGTAGGCTTCGCCCTTGCGAGGAGGCCCTGCAGCACCTTCGTGTAGCCGCCCTCCATGATGTCCCACCCTGGCCCAGATGGAACCCAAAGGGCCAGGTTGAAAAAGGTGGAGCCCACGTAGGTCTGGAAGAGCGAGACCCTCGTGTCCAGGGGAACACTGCAATTGGCGAACAAGAGCTTGCTCCCGGACTTGTATGCCGAGCTGGCCATAGCCACCCTTCGCCTCGCCTCTTGCTTCATGTGCATCTCCGGGTCCACCAACCCCCCCAAGATGTACATACTGGGGCGTCACCTGCACTCGCAGGTCCAAGTCCTTCAAGTGGAGACTTCTAGCTCCCTTGGGGAACCAGTTCTGGCGCGCCTTGTGGGCACCTCGGCCCCTCAAGGCTAGCATCATAGCCGTCTTGCCAACCTTCAGGTTGGGCTTCATGCCATGCCTGGCCACATAGTCCAACACCAGGGATGCCAACCGCGTGGCCTTGGCCATCAGGATCTCTGGGTCTCGGTCGCACTGAGGAAATGCACAGTCATCAGCCCATGTGCAGTCCTGGCCCAATAGTAGCCCTTGCTGGGGATCCTCCACAAACGGGCCGCCGTCCAGGTCGTAGAAGAGCTCCGTCAAAAGTCCCTCTCCTGTTGCCAGCTCCGTGATCTGCGCCAAGATGCGCCCCAACACAAACGCGAAAACCACATCTGCCCACGATTCACCTGGGCGAGAGATCCGTCACCGTAGCGCGTGATGAACCACGAGTTGTGGAGAAGATCCTTGGCCTGGTGTCGAAGTGGCCCTGGTAGGCCTGCCTGGGCCATGAGGCCACCATGTTTGATCTCCTCCATGAGTTCTTGCACATCGCTGGGGTCGATGTCAAAGAAGTTGAAGATTTTGCATACAGCTGCATCCGACTCTATGTTGCCCACCGAGAGTTCTCGAATCACCCGATAGTAGGCTGCATGCGTGTCCAGGAAGAGAACCGCCGAGGATAGACCACGACGGCAGCAATGCCTGAGGTGTCCCTGCACATAGAGTGCAGGAAACGTTACCGGTGTCCGGCGCTTGGCCCCAAAATGCATGCCGTGCAACGATTGAGAGACAAACGGTGCCGCACGCTCCCTCAGCAGCTTGTGGTAGCTCTTGCCCAAGTGGGAGGAGATAAAAATCGACCTGTAGCAGTCAGGCGAAGCCTGACTGCCTGACCTCTTCCACATTTCTTGTAGCAACCCTCCTCTCTACTGGATGGGTTGTCGAAGAAGAGCTGCTGCCATGAGGAGCAGGGGGTAGGCAGCCTTTGTCATGGCTGTAGGGGCCGAGGCGAGCAGGCAGCCGGGCGCCCTCCGGAAGGCCGCCTCGACCTCCAAGAAGGTCCGCAAGTCTTGCACCCTCCATGACAAATCCTCATCAATGCAGGGGAGGCCAGTGTCTTGGCTGAGGAAGACCTGTGTGCTGATGGTCTCTCCAAACTCCTGCTTGGCAAAGTGGTCCAGCCAGATACGGTCTCTGTCCTCTTGGTTGGCCGCCGGCTGACCCGAAGTGTCCAAGAGGAGGGGCAGTGGCCGAGAAAATTGCTTGGCAGCTTTGCCTCCAATGCCAGCTTTCTTGGCGGTGCGGAGGATGTCCCCGGCCTTGTGCCCGGACACCAGAGCCAGGCCTCGCAAATACTCCGACTTGCCAGCCTCGATGCCCTTTCGGATCCGGGCCGTCGCGAACCGGCACTTGCTGCTAGGTCATAGAGCAGCCCATGTCGACCCACCAGCTGCTCCAGGTGGTAGTCCACCCCATCTCTCCACTGTAGGAAGGCTCTCGGTAGTACATCCGCCCAGAACTGAGCCCGATGTCTGGTCCTTGCCTTGCGCCTCAACTTGGCATCTCGTAGGTCCCAGGCCCATCCATGACTGGCCAATGGTCATCATTGGGGGAGGCAGTGTCGAAGTCGTACTGCACCCAGCTTTTCAGGAAGGAGACCTCCGAGGCTCCTCCCAGGATGACATAGTCGATCCTGTGAACTGCTCCATTCGCCTGCTGGTAGGTGGCATGCTCGCCAACATGCAGTCTCTCGAACGTAGAAGGGAACCACAGCTGCAGCTCTTGCGCCACCTCCGTCATCTCCCGACCAATGGCGTCTTCCTCACCAAACCGTAGCCCGCCTGTGGTTTGAGCCACATTAGTGACCACCCTGCCGTTCAAATCCAAACCCCCGACAATGAGGGTGGATCTTTTCAGCAGGGCAAGGCATCGACGAAGGTTGGCAATGAACTCCTTTGCCTCCGGCCCCTTGGCTGAGTGCGGGCAGTGCCCCGAATACGCGATGATCTTGCGGCCGTCGAGGTCGATGGCCAGTATAAGCAGCCTTGGGCTTTCACAGACAATTCGAATGTCCGCCTCCTCGATGCATCTCACCCGACCGCCGAACGACAGCAGTCCGAACTTTCGACTCACCCATACAGCCACCCCCCAGTGAGAGGCTCCATCAGTGGCCAGTCGCAGGAAGGACTTGCTGGCAATGACATTGGAAAGGCCCTTGGTTTCTTGAAACAGGGCCAGGTTGCAATTCAAGGAGTCCAGCTGCTCCTCAAAGTACCTGTGCTTGCCCGAAAGGCTTTGTGCATTGAGGGAAAGGACCTTGATCTCAAAGTTCTGCTGCCCGTCCAGTGAGTCCTGGCCTTGGTACTGGACCGGGATAAGCTGCTCAGGAGTTAGGGCAGCAGGGCCAGCATTGCCACCAACACTCCATCTGAATATATAGCCAGGTTGGATGGGTAGGCCCCCTTGCTTGTAGTTCCTGGCAATAACACCCAACCAGGTGAGGTCCGCTGTCATGAAGGCGTGAACGGCTTCAGTGGGTGGACATGGAAGCCTGATCGCCTGGACCGCAACCTGCTCCGCCAATGAATCCACCAATTCGTTGTATGGATGCCCTTTGTGAGCAGCAACATGGCAAAAGGCTGGCGGTGGGTCTGCCAGCTCTTGTAGATATTGCTCCAGGGCGTGGGTTTGGAGGCCAAAACTGTTCGTAGGACCCCACTGCCCACTCATCGACCACCCCGCCGAAAGGCAGTCAAAGTGCACCGTAACGCTCTCGAACCGGAGGAAGGAACATCCTTGGAGGATCCAAAAGAGGGAGGTAGCGAGTGCTATTTGTTCCACTCGGAGCGCCGGTGGGGCCTGGAAAGTCCAAGGTGTGGCTGCATTTCCTTGCACTTGTTCGCCGAGTAGTCCGAAGATGGCGTGTGCCCCGGAGAGCACAAGGATAATCGCAACAGCATACCCTCCCAGGCCTGTTTTGGGGTTCCATGCCCCATCTGTGTAGATGTGGGCCTCCGGAAGTTCACCTGGTCGAAGACTGGCGAGGAGGTCGCTCCAGTGCACATGGCCCTTCAACTGCTCCTTTGTAGGCTGCTTGAGCTTAGCCTGGCTGATGTCAGCTTGTAGCCAATCCGGCGGCCATGTCCGGGACATGGCTCTGAGGGCTTCTTCATCGCACGGTAGCTGCACCGACTGGTCAGTCAGGTCGAACATGGGAGGCTGTACCAGGTGGGTGAGGCTGAGGGAGGTTGGCTCCGTAGGTCCCGCATCATCCTGCCTTCGTCGCGGGGATCTGCTCCTATCCATGGGCTGCGGCGGAGGAGGTCCTCGAGGAGCTCCCGTGTCTGGGGCCGGTGAGCCCGAGAACTCACTGGAATCCAAAATGTCTCTCCCATCCGAGCTGCCATCGTCGGTGTCACCATCTTGGCTGTGGTCATCCTGTCCACTGTCATCACTGTCGTGGGGGCTCTCAAGGCTGCTGGATCCCGCTCCTTCCCGGAGGGCGAAACGAAGAGTTTCACCATCCCGAGCTTCAAGACATGGTGGTGGGCGGCAAGGGTCCCCACCTTCCACGATGACTGTCCACCCCTCGATGGCCGGAAAACGAATGTCGTCCAGGAAGGCAGTCGGGTCGAGGAACCCATCTTCAAGGTAAATCCACTGTGGGAAGAGCCCAAGCTCGCGCAAGTCCAGGAAGACCACCGCATGATCCAGGGTAACCATCGGCGTGTGCCTGGGCCCCTCCACAACCGCAATCTGCTTGGTGATATTGCGGCCGGCATGTGAAAGATGGGCCAGCGGGGTGTCTGGCATTTTGATCCAGCAATTGCCCGCATCAAAGTTGAGGAGCTGCTCGGCCATGAGCACGATATTTTGCTCGTCCGACAAGTAGTCAGAGAAGACAACTTGGTCGCTCGTGCTCTGGTAGACCACATATTTGCCAATCATCGAAGAGGGAATCTCCGCCCCCGGGTTCCATCCGACCACACACAGGAGGACCCTTTGTAAATGGCTTTGATCAGGCCCCCTTGTACTGGATCAAGGGCCTGATCAGATTCCAATGGGCTGTTTCGCCCAAAGACATAGAACTCAACATCCTCAGCATCCTCATCGGGAGACAGGAGCTGTTGCAGGGAGTCCTTTGCCACAGGCCCCTCGTGGTAGAAGGCGAAGGTCGCCCCACCAATACCTGTGCTGTCCATAACCAAGATGAACTTGTTGAGGCCATGAAGCCACCTTGGAACTGCCACACAGCTGGCAAAGAGGTGGCCCAACTGGGGCGTGGTAAAGACAATTTCCTCCGCGCCAGAGGGCAGTGCACGACTGGTGTTGTACACTGCTCTGGCCAGGCTGGCACGGGTCTGAGGAAAAGCCACCCCATGTCCAGAACCTCCTCTTCATAATAGGGAGTGGCCAGCCAAATAGTGATGTGCATGGCCCTCTGCTGGTTTGCCTCGTCCAGGAGGGCCTGGGCGTCATCCGCCGATGCTGTGAACCGCGGAGTTGCAGCCTTCCCAGTAGAGTGCTCGAGGGGCCTCTCCTCCAAGACTCTGCTCCATGAAAGGGCCAACTGTTCTCTCATGGTGAGTTGCCCCGATGCCCACAACTCTAAGTCCGTCTGCTTGGGTGGCCTGGAGTCCTGGAGTGTTGGAAGGGCGGCCTCGATGGAGCGGATCTCACCGTGCCGGCTTCCGAGATTATCGCCAAGGCCAGCAGGGTCCGGAAGGGGGCATATATTGTTGTTCTTCTCCCGGTCTTGGCCTGGTAGTTCGAGCCCCTCGCCAAAAGAGCGAGGAGAATGACACCACGCATGAGGAGAAGGGTGCAGGCCATCCCGGAAGCATAAGCTTGCATCCAGAAATCATGTGCCAGAAATAAATCCGCAACACAGTCCCGGAGATAGAATAGCACAACCAAGAGGTCGAAGAAATGAACTTGCCCTCGTGCATGCTGGTCGTGGCCTCCCGTAGGGCCGTGCCAGATATTGTGCTTGCATATCATGTGCCCCTCAACATCGTATAGAGAAGCCCGGGGAGCCGAGATAGGATACCCCTCGACGGCTTGGTAGGTCTGCAAGACCCCCTCGTTGCCGGCAGCAAAGGCCGGGTAGAAGAGCTCGTGGGCACCGTTTGAAAGGAAGGGATTGGTGGCGAACTGGCCGAAAAAGTCGCCACAAAAGATATTGTCTGCTGCTCCAAGGGAGCCCGGCAGAAAAAGGAGGGGGAGGTCGGCACCCCGCCGACTCATAGCTGCAGGCAAAATGCCTCGTGTATAGCCAAAATTGCCCGCCCTCATCACGACGAAAGGCGGTGGCTGTGAGCTGTCGGAGGCTACTCCACTGGGGGCCCTCCTTCTCTTGTAGTTCCATCCTCCTTGAGCAGGTCGAGGTCCTCGTCGTCCTCGTCGTCGTCCTCCACCAGCTTGATAGCCTGTGCCCGGCGCTGTTCCAGCTTGTCGGCCAGCTTGGTACCCGGCTTGAGTGTGGGCACCTTTGGCTTTGCACGCCCCAAAGCCTTGACCGGCACTCGACGGGAGGATCCTCGAATCCGGGAAGCCGAAGGTGTGAGGGCAGAGCTGTCCTTGTCGATGGGGAAAAGGGAAAGGGCGGCCTCTCCCTGCTCTCTCCGGCACTGTCCTCCAACTCGACCTCCATAGGCGCTGGTGTGGGCTTGTCCGGCTTGGCCACTCGACACCCATCTCCTCGAAGTCCCAGGATCGAAACCAATTTCGCCTTCGCCTTGGCGGAGAGGGTGCCTTTCTCGTCCATCCCGAAGGGTCTCCAGGAAATACTCCGCCTCGTCGGGGATAGCCGTGAGCTTGGCCCATTCGTCCAGAGCTCCACGCTCCCCTTCTTCCTCCTTGATGGGCTTTTCCGTAGGTCCATCCAGCATCCGTCGAAGTTCTCCCAGGGCCTTCTGGTGAAGTTCCCTCTGCTCCTCGACCTCCTGGGCAAAACGGCGTGCATCGCCCTGATGTCTGGCCCTCTCCCTCAGGAAAGCTTTCCTGAGTTGAGCTTGGAACTCCTTCCACTGGCAGTCCGACTCCTCGCTGTCCTTTTCGGCCTTGCGGACTCTGGCCTCCGCCTTCCGAGCAGCATTGACCAATTTCTGGACATGTCTGACAAAGTTGCCCGGCCCGTCCAGGTCGTTGGCATCTCTGCCCACACCATTGTCCTGCTCCTTCGTGGCCACACTGACCTTGTTGTAGGCGGGGAAGACGTACTCCTTGGCCTTCTTGGGCTCCTTGTCGTCCCGGCGTCGTGGCTCCTGTCCCCATCCATGCTCCTTGGCACCATACTGGGATGAGTGCCAGCCATAGGACGGCTGTTGATCTCGCCATTGTCCTTGACCTCGGCCACGGCCCATCTGAGGATCTTCTCTGTAACAGGGACGCGAGTGGTGCTTTGTGAGCCGCCGGATGACAGCCAGAGGAGGTGGCTGCCCCAATGCCCTGGCGCGATGAACAGTTTTCCTGTCTTTTGATCGCCGGGCGCGCTGCCGCCTATGCCACGGCGGCGAGGATGGATAAGTCGTGCTTGATGCACGTGGGGTGCTCAGCTATTCTCTCCACACTGAGAGCTCGATCCGAGACCCTCTATATATATATACATATATATATATATACATGTAAGTAAAAAAATCAATAAATAAATATATATATATATATATAAGTTTACACCCACATACACACACACACAGAGATATATATATATATGTATAATTATGTAAGGTGTCGTTGACCGAACCCAGGTTTCGCTGCTTCCGGACTCGTACGCGGGCTATTGCTTGAGCCTGCAGGGCCTTTATCCAGACACCTCTATAATCTCCTGACATGGGCCTTGTTAATGACTTTCCGTGGAATGGCTCAGGGTGTGGGGCTTATCAATAAACCCCAAAACCCCAAAACCCCAAAACCCTGCATCCCTAAACCCTCCCTCCCCTAGGAGTCTCCAGACTTGGGCAGGTCCGAGCCCACCTAGCCGCAAGCGAGCTTGAGCTGGCGGAGGAGCAGGAGGCTTCCCGTCTCTTGAAGAAGTAGGGGGGTTCCCCTCAGAGGTTATCTGAGCTGAAAACGGAGAATGTGTGGCCATGGGACCCCAATCAAAAAAAGGGAGACAAATTGCGTCGTCTTGTAGAGCAACTTTTGCTTGGGTACCTCGGGGTTCGTAAGAAATCATGAGGTGGTTGTCCACCCTGCAACCTTATCCTGACCAGTGGACAGCCATCATGGGGATTCTTGGGGTTGAGGTCCCCAAGCTCAGCATGATCAACATGTTGGGGTGAGCGTGGTATTAAACAGGTCGGGGTATGTCGGGGTTTCTCGACTTTGAAATCATGGCGGCATGCAAAACCCTGGCGCCTTGCTTTTGGAGCTGCCATTGGTCTCGGGTGCTTCGGAAAAAGACTGGTCTCCCGCTTCCGGGTTGTGATCATGAGGAGTTCAGGGTTCAGCATCCGATATCCGGACTATCGGCCCAAGCCACAGCCGCCCTGCTGAAGGTTCGGAGGAAGCTGGAGGCGGAGATGGAGGCGCTAAATCAGCGTATCCGGCAGACGCAGGCGGGCTTGGCCCCTTGATTCTTTGATCCAGAGCAGGGTTCAGAGTTGATCGGTTCACCTCAACCCCAAATGGCGGCATCATCACTTCATAACGTGGGTTGGTTTCCAGAGGTCAGGTGTTGCTGTCCAGGTCAACTGGTCTGGCTAGCTTCAGCCTTTGTGTCCAATAGTAGTACTCGTAGTCGTAGTCGTAGCAGT